GGCTTAAAAGAACTACCTAAAGAAAGAAGGAGAGAGTGCCTGACTTGGAAACGGTCAAGGTACACGAAAACTCGAGAGTGAAAAAGTGAAAAGTGAAAAGTGAAAATGAAAGACACCCCGCCATTTATAGGACAGGCCGGAAGCACGAGAGCCGTCCGATCGGGGGAGAATCAACGGATGCGATTTGCCGGTGAGAGATAATTCCCGCGGCGACGTTTGAGTTCTCGAGGCAGGAGCTAGGGCTGACGACATCAGTGACGTCACCCGCAGACGCGTGGATTCGGCCACCTTCGCTTAGCCCGACTACTTCGCCGAGTCGACCTACGCCACGCCGAAGTGGGGGCCAATGTTGGATGCGAACTTGAACCTGTCACGTGTCATGATCAAAGAGGTAAGTCGAATTGACGTGTGGATGAAATTATAATTTTTCCTAAGGTGTTTAGGTCGGCGGTCACGGGCCGAGCTAAAAGAACGAACCGACCTTAAACAGAGTCCGTAAACATGTTTTTTCCGAACCCGACAACACGCCGTATTTTTAGGGTGTGTCAAAGTTCTTATCGGGCCCAATTTCTATAAATAGAAACCCTTGCCTTAAATTCAAGGTACGCAATCCTAAAGAGACTCAGCAAGTTAGCTCGGACTCAAACTCACCTGGTGCTAACTTTGTTTTGCAGGTCTCAAGAGTGTTCTAGGAAGGTATTAGATCGTTGGCCGTGGTTCATACTGCATGTTCTGATCTACGTTACATTCGAGCTCAGCAATTTCGAGTTCCAACACGCTCAATAAATGAAATGCTTAACCTTAAGGGTTGTTTTCCTCTGAGTGAGAGTTATACAACTTGAGTTATGGGGATAAGAATGATTTTTTTTTCAAAAAAGAATAAAAAATAAACAAAACAATAAGAAAAAAGTATTTTGTCGTAGTCTAATTGATTTAATAATCTATAGATCTATTTGACATTAATTAGAATTCTATACATAACTTTGAATTTCCTCGAGCCGCACGAGGAGAAAACTTCTTATACGATTCTAGTAGGATGGCCCTTACGTAAGGATTATATTGCCCCYAATTTTTATGAAATACAAGATGCTCATTAAATAATACGAAACAAATCTTCACTTMTACAACTCAAGATATTCAAATACATTTGTAGGTTCTTTTATAGATATAGCATAGTAATTGAAGTCTCATTCATCTCATTATTATTGATTTTAAATATAAAAAAGAAAAATACAATTAGAGAGTTGTTGAGATTATAAAATTTTTAAGATACTTATTTTGGATGAGTCGAGCTAATAGGATGAAGTAAACTAAATGAGTTCTGTATCATGAACTATGTATCACACGCATCACTTAGATGTGATTTAGAAAGTCACATAGTGGGAAAATGAAGAAATCTAATATGAAAAGAGAACCGGATTCTATTTGTACTCTATCTAAGATGAATCTTGGCCATTCCCGCCTTTCAACTCCCCTAGACTATACTTTAGGGTCTTATGAACCAACTAATTGAACCTTTGAAATATGTATAAAGTATTAATTGAACGCGAGGAGACAGAGTATGAACAAATAAAAAAGAAGAGGAAACAAAATAAAWTTTTTTTCTTTTAMATATCTATATACATACTTTACATATTTATATACRTATCCTCCTTATCTTTACTTGTCTATTTTACTCATCTATAAATAGAGTAAAAAATATAGTTTAGTTAAAGGGTATATCTCCAGACATCATGATGTATCAGTATTTTTCATGATCTATATTATTATAGAATACGTAGACCCATATTAATGAATTTGTAGAATAGATACTCGTACAAATTCATGATGTGCTAAGAACCAGATTTGAACTGGTGACACGAGGATTTTCAGTCCTCTACTCTACCAACTGAGCTATCCCGGCCATTTCCGACACATTATCCTTATTTTAATAGATTCGCTTCTCTCTCTCCCGCGAGGTTTGAACTTCGCGTGGTGGGAAGGCCTTTGCAATTCGCATCTTCCTGTCCAGCAAAGAAAGTGAAGGGGAGCGGACAGCAAGTTGGAGGACGTTGTAGAACCGCGTGATTGATCCATCTGCGCCTCGAGGGAAAGGTCTCCATTCCTACGGCAGTTTTGTCAACGAATGCATCTCGGGCCGGGAACTTGATCCCCCAAAAAGGGGCTGCAGCGGTCGAACTTGAATTCTGGAAATCCGCGGATTTAGGCGCTCTAGCCAAAACGAATCCTATTTCGGCTATTACCTTCTCCATTACTATGTTCTCATACGCAGGAATACCCTCGTTAGCCGGTTTTTGTAGCAAATTCTATTTGTTTTTCGCCGCTTTGGGTTGTGGGGCTTACTTCCTAGCCCCAACGGGAGTAATGACTAGCGTTATAGGTAGTTGGGCAGCTGGAAGGTTGCCCGGAGTATGTTGGGCTGTAATGCCTCCATTCCTATCCCATCCTTTATGATCTCTGGGCCGCCAGCCTTCCTCATACTCCTCCCTTCATTCATTGAGTTGGAGGAATCCATAGGAGGCCCGCCCGTTATGCGTTGCATGAAAGAACCCGCCCAACCCAACGAAGAAGAACCGAACCTGACAGACACATCTTTTTCCTTTTGGGAGGGTACTCCGAGTAGTGGGTACCTCGTAAGACCTCGACCCGCCATCAAATCTATAATAGATAAACCACTAAAAATTGAACTATGAAGACTTTACATAGTATACATCATGCCCATATAGACCAACAAAATAAAGGGTTATGAATTTTCATAATACATCACAGCACAAGTATTATATCCATCAAGTCCTCAAGTCCATATAGACCACTCAACTAAAGGACTATGAATTCTCATAGTACATCACAAAATTAGTGTAAACATTATGGTTTTTAGTCCCATACATATTGAGGACTCAACAATTATACTTCTTGTTAGGCCTTTGGTGAGATGATTCACTAAGTTTCTGTCGAACCTCAAATATAGGAGATAACTCCACATTTCAGCAACTCTTTCACAGCTCCATTTCTCAAGCTTATATGCCTTCTCCTGCCATTGTATAGACTATTTTTGGCAATCCCTATGATAGCTTGTGAATCACAATATAGGGATATTAGTACGAATTCTCCCTTCATAGCATATTTCATGCAAAAAAAAAATATATATATATTCACACAGTTTTAAATTGTAGAATAATCCCTATGACAATTTGTTGATTTCCATGAAATATAGTTCCTCCACCTTAAATAAACACATGCATATATTCGCTAGTAGACACCTTATTGTTACTATAATATTTTTTGCATCAAAATCACCTCCTAATACATAATGAACTTGTTAAAGTGCAAACAATAATCCACACGATGAAAAACAATCTAATGGTCTTTACCAAAATAATAAGTATACCTACTCAATGTACTCACATCATATGCAATATCAGGTTAGTACAGTTCATAAGAAACATAATACTACCCATAATTTTCACATATTCAGATTGAGATATAGTATGACTCTTGTTTTCTTTTTCCTTTTTTAAACCATCCTTATCATTCATTAAGGAGAAAATGCCTTGTGGGCTACAGAAGATAAAATTGGGCTAAGATTGTTAAAGGTCCAAACCGGACACTCATCAGTCCACAATAAATTGTAATTAGTTTGGATAGCATATCTCGCGAGTTTATGAGCCACTTCATTAAACTCCCTACCCAAATGAAGGAACCTAATCTCTCTGAAGAACACTGAAGCCCCCGAATTTCTGCGAGAAAGATCTTCGTCTCGCCCAGAATTTTGACCTCCGACGACAAAAGCCTCACCACTTCAAGATAACCGGTGTGCATGATAACGTATGTAAAGCCTGACCAACTTGCAAAACGCAACTCCTCCTTGACCAATTTGGCATGCAACGGAGAGAGGCGCACCTCCAAACAACGGGATAAGGTAAAAATCACTTTCCTTTCATGATCTTGGATTAGGGTCCCAATTCCAGTATGAGGGAGATTCAGAAAACAGGCAGTATCAATGAAAATATGGAAGGACAAAATCAGGACAAGGGGAATTGGGATCCACCTGGGCTGCTAATTTATGGGCAGAAAGTTCACCATCGGAGGATTGGTAATCTGACAAGTACCTCTAAAACCAATCACATTTTAGGGAGATTTCAGGAATATGCTTCTGATTGCATCATGCATTTCTGTCATTCCAGATTGCCCAGCTCACGGCCACTGATAGTTCCAACTTGTGTGAATCAAACGGAGCTAAAAGGGAATGCTAGAAATCTTCAAAACTCTCAGAGCCAAATCAGTCTATCTGCACCAAAGGTACACACGCATTCCAAATTCATCTTGCACGTTTACAACTAACAATCGTATGAAAAATAACCTCCATTTTTCTGTTACACATAGGGACATATAGGGGAAATAGTGACCCCCTGTGAACCAAATTGATTCTACTTGGCAGACAATTATGAATTGCTTTCCATAGAAAATGTTTAACTTTAACAGTGGATGTTCAATTTCCATAGTTTTTTCCACATTTGATTGATTGCATCACTGCTATATTATTCCACTAGGATCTTCTTATTCATGTATGCCTTGTAGGCACTTTTTACGCTAGCTACCCCTCTTATGAAAATGCCACTTTTTACACTATAGCTACCCCTCTGATCAAAATGCCACTTTTTACACCATAGCTACCTCTCTTATCAAAATGCCACATCCATCTAGCATTTATAACCCATTTGTTAATTGGAATTTGTTTTTATAAGGATGCTATCCTCTGGGTGAAAGATGTCCTATAGTTTGTCCTCATCCCAAGCACCATTAACCAAGAGATCACTAACCATCAGGTCCTCATTTACACTGACAGATGATATGGGCTTAAAGGTAGATCCTCTAGGCAGCTAAGGATCCCTAAAAACCCAAATAGTTTGCCCATTCGCTACTCTTTTCTGAATCCCAACCTTCAGGAGGTCTCTTCCCCATAAAAAACTTCTTAAAAAAGAAGAGGAGTTTTTCTCTAGAGAAACGTCAAGGAGATGAGAATGAGGAAAATATCTTCCTTCAAGAACCTTGGGGACTAAAAGATGAGGATATTTCAACGTTCTTCACACTTGTTTAGCGAGCAAAGCTTGATTGAAACCTTCTAGGTCTTTGAAATTTAAGCCACCAATCTCTTTAGGATAGCATAACTTATCCAATTTCATCAAATGAATTTTCCTTTGGTTTCCATTTACTCCCCACCAAACTCAAGCAAAGATCTTCGTAAGGTCAAAGCACAAGGTTTTCGGGAGACGAAAGATCCATATACTGTAAATCGAAATGGCCTGGCCAATACTCTTGATAAGGACTTCTTTGCCACCCATAGAAAAGAAACTTCTCTTCCATCTCTAGAGAACCGTCCAAACCTTGTCCTTTATCTTCCTTAAATCTGAAGTCTTTCCTCTTAAGAAAATCGAGGGCAATCCCAAATAAGAACCAAGATTTTCAACCACACAAACACCAAAAATTGATTGGAGGTAATCCCATCTAGATAATATTCGGGTGGAAGCACATGGCCGACTTCTCAAAATTTACACATTGACCTGAGGCTACCTCATGCTCTCGAAGAATTTTCTTCACTATAAAACACTCCATCGGATCTGCCTGTAAAAATACAAGACTATCATCTACAAACAAAATGTGCGATATTGGAGGACTATTAGCAGTAATAGAAAAACTAGTAAAGTATCGGCGAACTATTGCATGAAACCCCAGACAAAGCATAGTCATCTCTAGAAAAATCCATTCCACTCGGCCATAAGCCTTACTCATGTCAAGCTTAAGAGCAACAACACCCTCTCTGCCACTTTGGATACTTTTAATAGCATGTAAACATTTATGATTGATAATAATATTATCTGTAATCGCTCGACCCATAATAAGTACGGACTGTGCCTTAAAATTAATGTCATTAAGGATCCTCTTCTACACTTCATAAAAAGAAATTAACCTGGGATTTGTAGACTTTGGAATCAAAGCGATATTAGTTTCATTGAGTTCATTGATGTTCCCACCTCCATTCAGGATAGCCAAGAAATTTGCCACCGTTTTGGGTCCCACCACTTGCCAATATTTCTGATAGAAGAGAGTTGGGAAACCATCAGGGCCAGGGGCCTTTGTAGGAAATACTTCTTTGATTGCCTGAGTAATGACCCCTTCACTAAAAAGAGCCATCAAAATTCTGTTCATATATGGGGTAACTCGAGAAGGGATTACTCTCATCACCTGCTGCAAAGTTTGCTCACTTGGCTTAGAAGATTGAAAAAGCGTTGTAAAATACTTAATGAAAGATGATTCAATATCCATTAGGGCCTCAGACCAAGAACCATCAGCCAAAGTAATGCCCCTAATTTAATTCTTCTTTTTTGGAATAGAAGAATGCTTATGAAACCATTTTGTATTTTTGTCACCCCATTTAAGCCAATCTTCAAGTGACCGCTGCTTCCAATAAATCTCCTCGGCTTCCCAGAGATTATTTAGCTTCTCCTAAAGCGAGTGAATGACCACAAAATTTAGGGGCTTGGGGCAGTTGTATTCCTTTGCAATAGCCGCTTTGGTATGATTTATTTGCTGAAATAGACCATGATTTTGAGAGGAACCCCAAGATTTTAAGGCTGATTCTGTAGCCTTTAAATGATAAGCCAAACTAATATTCATTCATTCCCTTGCATGCCATACACCCGCTTGGTCAATAATATACTCACATTCTGGATCTTTGCACGAATATTCCTCAAATCTAAAAATATTCTTCCTCTTCCGAAATCCCATGCCACCTCTTTTGTAAGAGGTTTCAAGTTGGATGGCTCTATGGTCAGATTTTGACCACTCAAAGATGGGAGGCTCTGGAATCGGGGAACATTGCTTTAAAAGTTGTGTTACACACAAAACAATCAAGACACTCCCAAATTTGATCGTTTGCTTTACGCCTATTGCACCAGGTGAAAGAATTAGTGTCGCATTAGAATTCCGCTAAGTTACAATAATCAAGAGCCCTTTAATCAAGAGCCCTTGGAAATAAAAAATTTGACTGTCATTTAACTTGGGCTCCCCCCAATTTTTCTGAGGATCGCAGAACAATATTTAAATCCCCACCAACCAACCAAGCAGAGTTGTCTGAATTGTAGAGGTGACCCAATAGTTTCCAAGTTTTAGCTCTTTTTGAGACAATAGGGTTGCCATATAATCCTGTAAAATCTCCACGAAAAGTCTTTCCAGCAAACACTTGTATCAATATGAGAAGAAGAGAAAGAACAAAGAGAAATAGTAACCTCCTTCCTTCAAAGAAGACAGAGATCCCCTTTTGAGCCACTACTACTAACAGAGAAACCCCTATCAAAGTTCAACTTTATTCTCAATTTTTCAACCGAACATTCATTACAGTTTATCTCCATTAAGAACAAAAGGTGGGGATTAATGTGACAAACAATTTTCATGGTGACCGGCAGGGCTATTTAACAGCCTCTGCCGATAAAACTTCAAGGATGTGATCACTGCCAGTATTTGGGTCAAACTTCGGCTTCTTCTAAGCCTGCATAAATTCATGGTCCATCTTAGCCTGTCTCTTTCGTGAAGTAGTCCCAGTTTTAGTAATACGAGAATCCCTTCTCGATCGGGCCAGCTTCTTACACTCTCGAAGGCTAGTTTTACCCTTTTGATTACAAGGGTGTGGGACCCTCACAAAATCTGGAATATCATCCTCCATCTTCAAATTACAATTCCAAAGGGAACCATCAAGGCAAACGAGATCCGCATTAATAGTAATCAAATCATCCTTTTTCTTCCTTAAAATAGAATTCTCATTGATTGCCTTATTAAATGCTGATTCCTCAACAATTATGGGGCACTTAAAGATAGTCGGAGATTCTGCAACTGGCTGGGTGGTGGTAATAGGGTTTACCAGAATTGAGTCCTCTCCGGCTACCTTGTCCGATCAACAATCACCCACAAACCTCGAGCTCTAACTAAGGTTGTCTTCGCAATCTGGAACCTTACTTGTGGTAGTCTTCATGGTCCTGCCCTGAATAGATCTAGAGAAACTTAGCCACGGATCGTATTGATGCGACAAACCTCCCTTAAGCCCTGCATCTGTGTTCGGTGATCACAATCCTGAATCAAATGTCCAATCTTGTCGCAAAAGTAACAAAAATCCGACAATCGTTCATATTGAATAGGAATCCAACATCCTTCCATTAGCCCATCAATGTTTATTTTGATTCCCTTGCGAAGAGATTTCGTTATGTCTGTTGGGTGTGTTGCCCTAAATTCGTAATTTGTATTTATGTAAAAACAAATGTATATTCAATAAAGTTTTATTCAATCAATTTGTTGTTAAATTCATAGCATTGCATTGTCCAAAATCCAATAAACTAAACATCCAAGGTTATTATCATGTATCCGGGACAATATATCTATTGGGTACATATTTAATATACTGGGTATATACTAGGTATATATTTGATATACCCCTGATGTACAAGTGGATAATGTTCCGTGAATAACCTAAAAGGTCTATAGTATATGGATAAGGCTGGATACCTTATCCTGACAACACTATGGATACGACCCACTATGTAAATGTTACAGACGACTCGATCTAGGTTGTTCGTGTGCAGACATGCGAGTGGGGGTATCTTATACAATGAGTTTGTATAAGACCGGACCGCGAAATAGCCAATCTTTATATGTAACACCGTTAACTAACAGATTGTTATTTCTTAGGATGACTAGACAACTCATTCTCAATCCTGAGTGAGTTATGGACTCCTGCCCGTGAGGGCTCGTCGTTTGATCTGTATGGGTGAGAGTGACCCGAAACGTCGACTCAATATTCCTACCATTTTGGGGACGAGACCGAGCGGGGAGTTGGAAACATAACTTCACAAGATGGAATTCACTCCTCTCCCGACTTTAGGGAATAGATGAGTGTTTTTTTATATGCTAACTCCGGAACTTGAACAGGGGGCTCCACCCTCTCACTGGCCTGAGAGGGACGCGGACCATAACCGGGTTGTTCATTAGAGAAGTAGTGCTATTTAAGGAGCAAAATGTAACACAAGGGTAAAACGGTAATTTGACCCATTTGTGGTTACGAACACGTGAAAGATTGACTTGTCATTAATGGTCATATAACTGTGGACACGAAAGCATTATGCAGTGAGAAGAGTGCAATTGCGAGTCTTTAGTGGAGCGACCCGTAGTTAACGAATGTTGATTAACTCGGTCAATGAGTTTGACCGATTAATCTCGTATCGTTGGAGCTTCTGATCTGTAGATCCATTAGG